TCACGTGGAGTCACTGATGGGTTCAAACCAAAGGCATAGATTTTGGGTTAGCAGTGCAACTCCCTATGGACCATGGGACCAGAGCGCTCTACTCAGCAAAAAAGCAAAACATCTAAATAGCGATGCACACAGCAATATGGCTCAACCACACGTGTATTTTGTGTAGTGGCGATGACCATTACAGAGCCTGAAAAAGGTCAAAACCGTACAGGGACAGAGAATACACAGACCCTGCCAGGCTGGGCCGGGGACTGAGAAGATGAGGAAAGGGCAACAGGAAGAAATGTTGTGGCATGATAACCCAAAACCCAAGCCAGCTGCCACCAAGTCAACTTCAACCCATAGCAACTCCATGTGCTTCAGGGCAAAACTGCATTCTCCAGGACCCTCAATCGGCTCGGAGCTCTCAGGTCTCCAAACCCTTCTCCCAACGTGCCTCACAGTGAATCTGAACGTCTGTACCACGCAGAGACTCTAAGAACTATCTTGTATATACTGATTGTGGTGATGACCCCCTCAGGTTTCCAAGGCTTTAACCCTGATGGGAGGAGACTGTCCTATCTCCCTCCCACAGGGCGCCTTGGTGGGTCTGAACCACCAACCTTTTAGTTACAGCTGTTAAGGACTTGACCAGTGCACCACCAGGGCTTCATGACAGATCTGACTCTCTGTCAAACCCAACTGAACTCTAACCCACAAAGTAAATTAGACTATGATGTTGTTGTTATATGCCACAGAGTCACTTGAGACTCACAGCGACCCTCTGCTCTATCCTGCGCCAATCTTACTGTCTACAACACACCTACCCCCAATACCCCAGTCACTGATTTAACCCATCTCATTCCTCTCTTGCCCTGTCCCTCCACCCTCCTAAGCATGATGTCCCTCTACAAAGACTAGTTCCTCCTTGCAGCATGTCCAAAGTTATGTCAGATGAAGCTTCAGAATCCTTGTCTCCCAGAACAGCCTGGTTTCATCCTCTCCAAGACAAACCTGTTTGTTCTCCCTTGTGTCCATGGTATATTCAACACTCTTCTCCAGCTCTTTCTATCATCCATAATTTTTTTTTATATTGTACATAAATTTTAAAACTTAAAACGTGACTTGATTCAAGATCAACTCCTAAATCAAATTAACATGAAGATGTGAATTTCTCTCACGTTTCTGGTAGCTGATGTTTGACAGGGGAGGGTGGAAAGAGCCAACTCGAATCTTTTTTCTGTCTTGTTTTCCTGGGCATTGTTTGAGTCTCCACAAGTGAGAAGTCTCCTTCTCAGACTGAAAAGTCAGATAACGGTCACCAAAGATGTGAGAATGTCCTTCAAAGCCACCGACAGATGGGCTGTGTTCCACTTGTAATGCCCTCAGAAGCATTTCAAAGGAAGAGATGGGGGGGGGGGGTGAAGGAATGTCATAAATCCTAAAATCAACATTCGCTGTGCATCCTTCGGAGATTCTGGCTCATAGAGACCTGGTGTCACAGGACCAACTGCTCCTGAGGGAACCCAGGCTGGAATCTTTACAGAGACTGCCAGATTACAGATTACAGAACACACTGCCAGGTCTTTTCTCATCAAAGGCACCAGTGGCTTCAAACTGCCAGTCATTAAATCAAGAGCCAATCAATGCTTCCACCAGGTCAACCCCCACTCCAGCCAAGGCAGGGGCAAAAGGAGAAAAGGTTACTCACTTAGTCGCCTCCTCCCTTCTAGACCAAACCAGGTGCCGTCAAGTCGCTGTGACTCATAGCGACGCCATATGTTGAGGAGGAGAAATGCACATGCCACAGGGTCTTCAAGGCCTCTGAGAAGCACACCACCAGGTCTTTCCTCCATGGCACGTCTGGGTGGGTTTGAACTGCCAACCTTTGGGTTGTTGTGACAGTGGTGGTTATGTACCATAGAGTTGGACCGGACCCTCCAGCTGGTTTTCAGAGGCAGTTAATCACACAGGAAACTGCCCATCCTTCTCCCACGGAGCAGATGGTGGCCTCGAACCCTGTGCCTTTGGGATTGCAGAGCAGCTTCTTCCCACAGGCCACCAGAGTCCCTTGACCTTTGGGTTAGCAGGTCTCAAATTCAAAAGTAAACCCATTGCCTCAGTCAACTAATATTCCCAGCAATCCTATAGGATGGGCAGAACTGGCCCACAGATTCCAAAGCTGAAACCTGTACAAAATCAGACTGTCTCATCTTTCCTGTGAAAGGTTCGAACCCTTGACCCCCTGGCTTGTAGCCTCGCACTAACCATTGTACCACCGGGGCTCTTCATCAGCTGACCTAGAAACCAATCAAAAACCAAGCACACTGCCCTGGAGTCCATTCCCACGCACTCTGCCCCAGAGCACAGAGGAGAAGCGCCAGTGGAATTCCCAAGGCTAAGGGCAACTCTCCCATATTCCTCCCACACAGCAGCTGGTAGACTTGAACCACAGATCTACTGGTTGGTGGTCAAGCACTCTAAGCACGGCATCACCGAGGCTCCTCCTAGCCTGTCCACTGCCATTGAGTCAATCCTGACTCTCAGACACCCGATCAAGTTTCTGAGGCTGCAAATTTTCATGGCAGGAGACTGTCCATCCTCGGTAGGAACGGCTGGTGGATTCGAACTGACAACCTCTAGTCCTCAGTTCAACATGTAATGCATGACACCTCTAGGACGCATTTCTAGTCCTCCAAGACCCTCCTTTAAAAAGCCTGTCAAGTTGTATGGGGGAAAAAGAGACTGAGAAAGGAAAACAAAGCCCTTCTCAAGCATGGGAGGCCCAGAGGCCTGGCTCCAAAAGCCTTTCACATGGAAAAAATGACACTTTAAACCAAGCAAATGACGAAAACAAGTGGGGCTCCAACACTCAGTTATACTTTCCATCTGAGCCAAACCAACATTCCTCCAGCAGAGAGGGGGCTAGCCCAAATGACTGGTGTCCTCAGAGACAGCTGCAGGGGAACTGGGGCTCAGGGCTGCCCACACAGGCCCCAAACTGGGGGTGCCACCATGTGCCTTCCTGGGCCTCCCAGGGAGTAAGGACACTGTTCCTTTTTCTCCTCTCTGGCCTCCAGAACTCCCAAACCCAGCAACCTCCTCCCCCAGCAGCCAGCCTGCTACATTGTTTTACCTCACCTGAACATCACACACACCTGAGCCAGGCCTCATCAGGGGAGCTCACAACCCCCGCCCTGAGAACCAGCTCCCCAACCCTCACCCCCAGCTGGAGCTGGAAAGCCTCCTCCATGCAAAACAAACGCTCCTTTCCAGGAGACTTGAGGGGGAGGGGCGGCAAGCCAGAGGGCAAAAAAACCACCCACCCAGACCTGGTGTAAACCAGAACCTTCCCTGCTAAGGCAGTTGCCTCAAAGAAAGACTTTAAACCTGGTAGGAAGGGCAACTCATGGTAAAGGGTTCCCTGTGAGAGTTAAATAAAAACTACTGACTTTTTAAAAAGACAGGAGTAAATGACTGAATTCTCCAACAGCTTATTGCATTAAGCTAATTAAGGTCTATCGTGTTCACCATCTGAGTTTTCCTTGGCACGGAAGTGCAGGAGCAGCCATCCTCCAATATGGACTCCGGCTGGGTCTGCGAGCACATTTCCACCACTGCCAGAGACTGAACCTCTGGCAGTCAAAAATGATGTCGCAGTGAAAACCAATTTTAGCTCAGTGATTTGTAAAGAATTCCGTTCCATCATGCAAGCGACTTCACTGGTGCACGATTAGAATGATCTCTATTAAATGCCAGAGAAAGTATTTTGCGCTAACTATGCACCCTTTTTTCCCTTTTGCCAGTTCCTTCACAAGGAGGCTGCTAGGCAGTCGAATGAGGAACCATCTCCACAATAAAAACCCTGGCGTACTTGACGCCCTCCGCTGCAGATACCCTGCCCACCAAACTGCCAGCAGACAGCTTAACCAATTCTAAGATTCCCCGGCAAGTCTGCTGAGCACAGACAGACGAGGGACAAAATACCCACTTCAAAGGAGAGGCGAGATTTATTTTCCCATCACTTCTTCCATGGGTTCCTCTAGCCTGTACTTTCAGCACTCCAAGCCAAAAAAAGGAAAAAGACAGAGCTGGTTCTATCTGTGGTTGAGATCATATTGGAGAGGATTCTGGAGCTGCTGGCTTCCTGTTTGGGGAAGTTGCAGGAACCTCAAGGCAAATGTTGAGTGTTCCCCTTGCAAGCCCTCGCTGTCTTTGTTCTTGACTTTGCTACACTCACTACTGCCTTCCTCTCTCCCCTCCTCGCTCCCCACCTCTCCTGGTGGAGGGTCCATGGAAAATGCCAGCTCGGATCCCACTGGAATCTTTGCAGGCAGGTCCCATCTCCTACTATCCCTTCCTGTACAGCTGAGGCCCCAGCAGGCAGGCTGCTTTCACAGAGGAAGCCAGCCTACCCCGTTTCCCCCTGGTACTGCATCAGTATTCCGCATTAAAATGTATGCCACAGATAATCCAATGGCGAACTCACCGTTAACAGCCCCCAGAATCAATAAGAGAGATTCCACCACTTGACACGGAGTGAAAAAAAGCAGCCTTTCAGGTGAACAGAGGAAGCAAGGTAACAGGAAGGTGACGCATGGGCAAAAGGCAAGTCTACCTCCAGACGCCTCTAACCCTACAGTGTGGCTGGGTTGTCTGGGTTTGAAGCCCTTCCCTTCCTGGTAACCATCGGGAAAATGCTACATGTGTACCGCTCTCCTCTTATGCAAAACAGCGCACTCTCCACCAGGCCTGGCTGCTCCCAGCCTCCACGCGTGCTTCTTCCCAGGCCTCTATCTTCCCAGCACCTAGACACGCGCAGTTTCATGAAGTCATCCTGATTCAGCCCTGACATCAAGCCCAGCCCAAAGTCACCCTGATGCCATAAACCCTGGATGCCATTTAAGTCTTCACCACCACCCCCTCAGCCCCCTTTTCTCTCCAGGGTACCCACCGTCAATCTCTGAATGGATGTGCAAATCAGTATTTAAAACGTCATGCTCAAAATGATCAGTTCTCACCTTGTGAACCTTGACCTTTTGGAAAGACTTGGGACCAGTGTTCAGTTACTGTCACACGGCTGCATTCTCTGCCAGCATGAAAGGGTTAAAAGCAGCCCCAGTCAACAGGCCTAGGAGAGAAAAGAGAGAGAGCAAGAGAGCTTGCATGCTTGCAGCATCCCTGGAATGCATTTATGCACATTTACTAGAACAATACTGTTACCTTTTTGGCCTCCATCAGCGCCAGAAGTATCCCCAACACCCTTTAGGAAAAGCACAAAACAAGAACCGACCCTGCAAAAGAAGCAAGCATGCAAAGGAGCAATCTCTTAGCAATGCACAAACTCCCATTACAAACCCCCTCAGTTCCTTTTGGTCTGATTTTGTTACAAAACACAAGAGAAATCAGGAGAGAAACTGCATAACCCAAGTGTCCCCACCCTGGAAAGGCACATCTTTTTTTTTTTTTCTTTCTTTAATAAGGGTCATAAATCTCAGCTCCCTGTCCATCCCTTAAGCCAAAGGAAAAAAAAAAAGGCAGGCAAAGCCCAAGTCATCTGAGACCCTGCTAACCTGCACATGTCCCCCTCTCCTCTACTCAGAATCTGAGGGCGCCGCGGGCCACGTCCTGGGCTGTGTGTTGTCTAAGAGTGCATTCACATAGTGTGTTGGGATGGTACCTTCCTGCCAGCGCCTCTGCTTTTGGCTGCCATGGAGGGAGGAAGCTGCTATCCCACTGTAGGAGCTCTGTGACTGCATTGTGTTCAGGAGCTGATCTGCCTCAAACCAGTTTCAGCCGGTTCTGGTCACCCTACATAAAAAAGCTATGGCAACCCTCGCTGAGTTGCCAACAAGTCCCTGAAAATCGGCTGCACAGGGGGGAGATCTCGCAGGGGGTGGCTTTTCCGTTGCAGGCCTTCATCAGGAGGGGCAGGTCACCGTGGGCCCCCTCGGCCCCCCCCCCCCAGCACGCAGGCTGGGAAATGCTCACCTCACAGGCACCCCAAGGCCCCGCAGGCCCATCCCCCTCCCCTCCAGCCTAAAGCCCACCGCAGCCAAGGCTGCCCCCTCCTTCTCCTTCCCCCACTTACCTCCCACAACCTGGCTGAGGGCTTTGTGTACCTGGGTGTCAGTGTGTGTTCCCTGGCAAGGTGGCTGACAAAGAGCCCCCCAAGAAGGGGCATGTGTCTCCTCACTCGGGATGCGTTGGCTGCAGAAGCCTCGGCCTCCTGGCTGAGTGGTGCTGGTTGTTGACCAGGCTCTTCTCAGAGCCTGTCACCCCCACCCCACCCAGCCCCCTCCTCCCTGCCGTCCCTCTCTCGCTCCCAGTCCTGTCACCACCAGCAGCAGCCCCCCCAGTCTCCTCCTCCTCCAACCTTCTCTTCTTTCAAGCACCTGGGGGGAGAGGTCCAAAACCCCTCACCTCGGGGAGGAGACCTGGGGCTGGAAGGGCGGGCTGGGGGGCAGGTGAGGGGCCGGGGGCGCGCAGCCCAGAGGCCTCTGCAAAGCCCTGTGTGCCCCGCCAGCGCGGCGGAAAGGAGGCCCGCTCTGCGCTCACGTGCCCCCCTCTCTGAACCTGTGGGCCTAGCAGAACCGGCTCGGCCTCGGCCCCCCCAGGCAGCTGGCAGGGCGCGAAGGCCAGCTGTCCCCACGCGGGGC